ACCTTGTACTTACGTTTAGGCCTTTGATAATACATACACACACACCTTGTACTTACGTTTAGGCCTTTGATAATACATACACACACACCTTGTACTTACGTTTAGGCCTTTGGTATAACACGTACACACACACCCTAAACTTTACTTTTAGACCTTTGATAATACATCACACACACACTTTAAACTTTTGTTTCTAACCCACACATACACACATCTTAAACTTTACAACTCATTTTCCATCATGCACATATATCCTCGTTCGTTCATGTGAGTGGAAACTTTGCCACGTGGCACACGATCCACACAACACACATACGATAGTTTTAGGGGTTAAGGTTCTTTATTCAAGTTTTGGTTAACGGAAGGATAGGGTTGTTTTCGCAAGCGCTCTGGGTGCTTTAGGGGGTTTCTAACCCATATAGAGTAGTGTGCTCTGGGTGCTTTAGGGGGTTTCTAACCCATATAGAGAGTAGTGTATTCCGCGTTGCAAGCAACCTATCAGCTCTAATCCACTGCATAACACGCCCTTTTGCAATTCCTGTTGCTCTATGTTTCTGGCGCACAAAAGCTACTAGTGGTGACTCGGGTTCACCTCGCAGCCTACGAAACTCGTGAATGTACAAGGCGTAGTATTTACCAAGTCTCATGTTTAAGGGGTACTGGTTTGATGTGGGTTGGAGATACCTATCCAGTAGCGTCCTATACTTGTCGGGCAGTTCCAAGTGACTCACATTCATGAAATCCCGCAACCCCCCGGCCCCAAATCGCACCGGTTTCTTGGTTGCCGTTGTGACCTGGGGTAAAAAACAGGCGTGCCTTTCACTTGTAATAGGATTCAGACGTTCACTGCATTTGAGGCACGAAAACTCAAACGCCTGTAGTAAATGCTTGGATATAGGGTTCCGAGCAAGCACCACTCTGGGTTCGCGGCAGTTGGGGCACGTGTCACTCGGTAGTTTGTTGCAACATGTAACACACATGATAAATGTGCAACACACTGTAGTGGTCACCGTATGTGAAACGCAGGTGCACACGCCACAGGTAAACATGTGTTCGCGTATCAATTCCATACTAAGGCTCACCCGGTGGTCATCCTCAGTAACCTGTACAGGTATTGCTGACCCATCCGTATTACCAGTAGCGGT